ACCAAAACGTGAGTAACTCTCTCTAGTAGTATTAGAAAGCTTATTATGTGTTTATAACATGATTTACATAGCTAAATAACTAGATTTAGGAGTTTACTCCCCAAGGTGTTCTTGGGCGGTAAACTCCCGAAACAATGCCTAGCCTTTCCCCCGTGATATGCTACTGCCTTAGGCTTATATATAAGTGTATTTGGGACATGAAATCAACAAAGAAATACCAAGGGTTGGGTGTTCACGACCCAAGATGATCTTGGACCGTGAACTCCAAAATCTTGGACCAAAGTGTGTTTTTAAGTCACCTAAAGCCTTGGACATTTACATAGAATTGTTTCCACTTAAATCAAGGACCAAAACACATCAAAAACACCCCTCAAAGTGATTTCACAACCCTAATAAGGTTCTTAGGCCGTGAACATCAAACAAAGGCACCAAAGTGTGCCTAAGGCCTTCATATGCTTGGGATAAAAGTCTAAGACCTATACTACATGTGCAAGAGACTTGAAAGCATCAAAAACAACATTCCAAGGGAGTTTACGACAGTAAACTCCAAAGGAATTGGCCTTGGGGCTGTAAACTCCTCAAAGGAGTGTTTCTATGCCTTAAACCCTTCCAAGAATTAACCCACAAAGTTGGAATGCTTCTAGGGATTATTTAACACCTTAAAACAACCAAAGACATTAAGCCTTAGAGTTTACGGCCGTAAACTCAAGAGTTTACAACTGTAAACTCCATGTGTGAGGTTATTTGGAGAGTAAACTCAAGTATAGGGTCGTTTGGAACCCTGAACCCAAGTGCCTTGCCCCACAATAGCTTAGATGCAATCCTTAGGGCTTATAACACTTATATAAAGTGTTTATTATGTTCTAGGATGTCTTAACATTATCAATTAGTAATTTAAGACTAATTGAGTGCATATATGTCTGATTATATGTTCATTAGGATCGTAGTGTGTGTACAAGTCCTCACTTGACACCTAACAATCCTACACCGTACAGTTCATCCAAACCACCATCTACAGGTGAGTTCATACCGCTAAATGAATATTTTAAATGTTTTTAAATGCTTTAATTGGGGGGGGGGGAATACAAGTAGAAAACAACATGTTATTAAATCACTCATATGTATTTTATAACTGTGTTTTCATCCAGCAGATTTCACATACTGCAAAATGTGATGCATGAAATGGTTTTCCATCTTAAAATACCTTGATAACAAAAGTATTAGTTTTGAAATGTTTATTAACATGACATCAAGTCACTCTTAGTTATTATTCAAAAGTCTTAGATACCTTGCAAAACCATTACGTTTACCTTCTTGAACAAACAATTGCCTTTCAGTTAATTATCATAGGGATAGTTAGAAGATACAAAACAATATTCCTATTACAAGGAATCACACAAGATTCAGTTCATTCATGAGTCTATACCAGTACATTACATGATACATGAGTACATTTATCTAGGATTACATGATACATAAGTACATTTTCATAGATACATTTATCTGAATACGCTTACATGAATACCATACATGAGTACTGTTACATATATACATTATCCTGTATTCACTTACCTGGATACTTGTACCTAGAGTTATGAGGAAGATTTATTTGTACCTTCTGTGTAAATTTTCCTACCTATCCCTGTTCGACGGGATGTCTAGACGGGACTAAACATTCCGGAACCCAGTTGTTAGCACCACTGGGTGATGAACATCCACGGATGTCTAAGGTTATCACTTATAATAGATAGATTGATATCGGAACTAACCATTCCCCCATCCTACTGTTGCAACAGAGGATGAGATGAAAATCTTCGAATGATCATTAGGTTACCACTTATATTAGGAGTCGGCTAGGGGACTAACCCTTCCTCCAACCTGCTGTTGCTACAGAGGACAATTGGACAATCTTCGGATGTTCATTAGGTTATACATATCACTTATTGCGATGGCGTGTTAGTCCTGGTATCCAGGGATAACACTTACATGGTTATATTTTCCTATTTACTTTATTTTGTGATATATTCACATAAACGATGAGTTAGACCAAATTATTGTTTGTAGTAGTCAAAAAGAAGGAAAAACTATCATTTTACTTACAAAACATTCGGGTCTTGGTAGAAGACTACATTATCATAACAAAACATTCGGGTCTTGGTAGAAGACTATATTATCATAACAAAACATTCGGGTCTTGATAGAAGGCTACATTATCATAACAAAACATTCGGGTCTTGGTAGAAGATTACATTATCATAACAAAATATTCGGGTCTTGGTAGAAGACTACATTGTCATAACAAAACATTCGGATCTTGGTAGAAGACTACATTTCATACTAGTAGGAAATAAGGGATTTCTTAGGGTTTTTCATACTTATATCAACTGTCTTACTTAAAGGTTTTACATGACATTCATAACAGTTTATCAAAGCAAGACAATGACACTTAAATACTTATGAACTCACCAGCTTTAAAGCTGATACTCGCTTTCAAAATAACTTGTATTATCAGGTCACCAGTAGACAGGTACGATGACCAGGTTTTTGAGAAGACGGAGCACAGACAAGTCTCGTCTTTTATTTTGATTGTATATTTTTGGTGTCTTATTACAATGAAAGAACACACATGTATTAAAACTTTACTTGTAATGTAATGAATGATGTTGTTGCTTATTTACTACTTTACACTGTTGTGATACTATACATGACGTCCTCCACCCCGGAATATTTCCGTCGTTCTTGGTTTTGGGGTGTGACAGTTATGTTATGTAATTTTATTAATGTTATGTGATCCTTTATCACAATAATAAAAATCATGTGTTTTGTGAATATTTAATAAAATAAATAAGAACTTAACTAAAATCCACATATTTTAAAAGATTAATTTTACGAAAAACAAGATTTTTATAAGCGTAACATACGAAAATTTACTAAAAAATACATGCCTTCGAGAAACAAATCAAAAAAATGTGATCACATCACCTTTCCTTCATAGTCAAAATCTATATTTTTGTAGTTAGACTAAACTGTAAAAATGGTTATGTCAAAAATTGTCATTTTGATCCAAAAAATTTTAGACTAGTATCACTGGTAAAAAAACTTTCATTTTGTTGCATTTTTTGTCCATAATTTTTTAAAGTTATCTAAAATGACGGATTTACCCTTATATTTTTATTTTCCACTATTTTTTTATTATTTTGTATTTTTCGATTAAAAGTTAAACATTAAAAGTAAAGAAAAAAAGACAACACCACCAACCTTATCTCAACACTAACTCCATCGCTCTCCTTTTTTTTTTTTATTGTTGATGGAAGTTGAAGAAAAGCCACAGAAGCAGCCTATTTCATCTGAGACCATTTTAGCCAGAACCCATCTACGCCGGAGACCATTGTACTCCTTCCCAAGCTGTCGTAGACCACCTTCTCCGGCGACACCGTCTCTCTCATTCTTCCTTTGAACCCCCTCCCTTCTAAGATCTGATGAACATTAAGGGTTTTAATCTGGATCCTAAGGAACTCGAAAAACATGATGACGATCTGCAAGTTGACGAGCACGATGTAGATCTGAGAAAAAGGGGCGCCATCATTGGAGAAGGAGAGAGACGGGGTAAGGGTTTTTAGAGAAACGATGATGACTGGAAACTAGAGTTTGTATCGTTCTCACTTCACTCCTTGACAAACAAAGATCAAGCCACAAACATCATTATTGTCATTGGTGATGAACAGACGGACACAATAGATGGATGCCGTCGAAGAAAAGGAAGATAGATGAAGGCATCGTCGAATCTACGTTGCGATGATGGTGTCGGCGAACAGTAACATATGGATCTAGCAAACTTGGCTCAGTTCATCCTTCTTCGGTCGCCCCCTGTCTCAAATCTACATCACCAGAAACCCTAACCTCAGTCGTCGGAGCCTTCTTTGCCGGAAGCCTCCATCGCCGGTGGTGGTGAAGGAGATGAGCATATGCTTTTTATGACATTTGTTATTTGTCTCTCTCTCACTAGTTCACGGTGCTTAAAGGTTTGCAAAGCCTAGTTATATATGTATCTCACTTCATCTTCGTATGTCTCCTCTGACGACAACAACGACGACTTCCGGTAGTGGTGGTTCTTTTGCTGGCATGACGTTGTTAACTGATGCACCTGACTAGAGATGCACAAAACCCGAATCCGATCCGATTTTGCTTATGTCATCAAGAATCCGATCCGGTTAAAATCCGATCCGAATCCGGTTAAAATCGGATCCGGTCGAAATCCGAATCTGATTCTAATCCGGTGTAAACCGGTTCTAGTGAGTTTTAAGCGGATTTTGGGGACGGATTTGGATCCGGTTTTTAACAAATCCGGTTTACGATCCGGTATCAAATCCGATTTGAAATCTAGGATTAGGATCCGATTGAAAATCCGGTTTTGAATCCGATCTGATCCGGTTTGGTCAAAACCGGTTTTGACCCAATCCAGTTTCAGATTGGATCCGGTTTTGAATAGTGAAACTGGTTTTTGTGTGCATCTTTACACCTGACAGATAAAGGGAGGAGGGGTGTTTACATTTTGTCTTTTTTATTTTATTTATTTTAATTAAAAAAATAATAAAAGTAGAAAAAAAAATAAAAAAAAAATACTAAGGGCAAATCAATCATTCTAAATATATTTAAAAAAAGTTTAATCAAACTCGCAATAAAATGAAAAATTTAGATTTGTAGTGTTAATCCAAACATTTTTAGACTAAAATAACAATTTTCCCATTTGTACAATTTTGTCGGGTAGTTAAAAGCCTAAAAACAAATATTCTTTTGGAAAAAAAATAAAGTTTGTAAAAGGCGTCGTTTGCATTTGCGAAAATGACAATTATTTTTAAAATTTTGGATATTTAGCTATTTTTAATAAAAAAAATTTAAAAATTAGTTATTATTATCATTTTCTTTATTTTTTATACATTTTCAGATATTTTCTTTTTAAACCAATTTTTCTTACATAAATAAAAAAGAAAAAAAAAAAAAAAAAAGAAAAACAAAAGTCGTATCCGCATACAGGAAAGGGCATTATGGTAAACTCGTGAAACACCTCGTTCTTGCCTACTTCCTGGCTCCCTGCTACTCCCTGTTCTTTTCTCTCGAATGTATAAAACTCACCTCAGCCATACTCATTCACATCTTCAAAGTTCAAACTCAAAACACTATCATCCTTTTAATAGCAACCCTCTTCTCCGATCAATTTTCCGTTTTAATACCCCTATTCTCCGATCAATTTTTCGAATCAAAATCCATACCAACAATCTGCAAATATGTGTGGTGGTGCAATCCTCTCCGATATCATAGCCCCGGCGGCTAATCGTTCTCGCCGGCTCACTGCCGATCTTCTTTGGAGCAACGATTTCACAAAGAGCTCTAGCAGTTACTTCTCAAACCCTCCACAATCCGATGCCTTTGATGTTGACGATGAGTTCGAGGCCGATTTTCAGGGATTTAAGGATCAGGTTGAAATCGATCAGGATAACAAGCCTTTTGCTTTCTCCGCCTCCAAAGACTCCGCTCCTGCTCGTGGTAATCCATGTTTCCCTCCTGTATCTTTTTCTTTCTTTCATGATTTCTTAATATGATTTTGTAATTGATTCTAATTTTACTTGCTGGTTTAGGGTCAAGATCTGTGAAATCTGATGATCAGGTTGAGAGATCTGGTTCCAGGAAAAGGAAGAACCAGTACAGAGGAATCCGTCAGCGGCCATGGGGAAAATGGGCCGCAGAGATACGTGATCCAAGGAAAGGCGTCCGTGTATGGCTTGGAACCTTTAATACCGCTGAAGAAGCTGCGAGGGCTTACGACGCCGAGGCCAGACGCATCCGTGGTGAGAAAGCAAAAGTCAACTTTCCGGAGAAAGCTTCTCCGGCGAAGCCCAAATCCCGGAAACCTGTTTACAAACTAGGATCTGTGGAAGAGAAACCAAAAGCTAATCTTACCGCGGATATGCCGGCGGCGAAACCATTTATTCCGTCCGAAACTGCTGCCTTTTACTTCAGCTCCGATCAGGGTAGCAACTCGTTCGATTGTTCCGATTTCCCATGGGGGGAGAACTGTGTAAGAACTCCCGAGATCACATCTGTGCTTTCTGAAGTCGATGAAGCTAACTTTATGGAAGATTGTAATCCAGCGAAGAAGCCGAAAACAGAGTCTGTGAATTTGGTCTCAGATTGTGAGAATACCGATGAGCTGTTCTTTGAGATGCCATGGGATACTTCTTCCGTCGACGCTTTCCTCAACGGCGATTCAACAACTCAGGATTGTGAAAGCGTCATGGATCTATGGAGCTTCGACGATCTCCCTGTCATGATGAACGGAGGATTCTAATTCAAAACTCAAAAGTTTTCGTTTCATGTGTCCTGTAAATAAGGCTTTACATGTCAGTAAGATTTATGTTTTTTATTAACTAGTGTCTAATTGTGTAATCGTTTGTGTGAACTCCATTAATGTCTAATGAACATGGATTTTGAGCTTTTAATCTTCCGTCACAAAACAGAAACCCCAAGCAAGGAATATGAGAATATACATCATCAGAAGCAAGAAAAACCTTTAAATTTTCTTCGATCTACAACCATGTTCATTCTTCATAGAGATGAATCATGATTATTTATCAGAAATTCTGTTTGATTTTCCTTGTTATCGTTGGTTTGCTGATTTTGATTTCTGGGTTTTTTTCGTTGATCATAATCTTCATATTGAAGCCAAGAAGACCGATCTTCTCATTTGAAACGATTGACATTTATTCCTACAATTTCGATGTTCCAGATTCTTCTGATGTATTACTTTCCACTGTTGCTTCTGTAACCTTAATTACGCAAAATCCAAACAAAATCGGTATAAAGTATGATTTTTCAAAGCTACAGATACTTGATAATGGATTGGTGGCAGGGATGATTAGAATCCCGGAGTTTTATCAGCCAGCTGGAAGCCATAATTTGAGGGTTGAAATTGACATTTTATTTCGGGATCTTGATGTAACTTCAATCATGTCTGGAGTTGAAATAAATAATTTTACAATCAAAGTATTGGGTGATATTGGAGTTCATTTACATGTTATGAAGATTGAATTGCCAAAGATCAAGGTTGGTTTTTTTTACTTTTTTATTTGTGAAATCGTTGGATTTGTGTTCGTTTTACAGAAATTTTGAATTTTGTTTGTGTTCTTGAAGGTTTGTTTGGATTGTGATGTAGCAATTGATGGTAGATATTTGATATCTAGGAACAAAATCTCAAGCCTGAAAGCAGTCAAGAATTATATTGTACGAAAAAACTTATCCTTTATTATCAAGAAAATAGGGCATTTATTATCCTAGAAATATAATCATTTATCAATCGAAAAACTTTACATTTTATCTATATAAATAAACACTTACATTTTAATTACCTTTCATGTTAACCTAATTATCGGATTTTTTCTTTTAAAGAAATTAGTAGCTTTATGATATGATATATATCTTTTTCTATTTTTAGGTTAACATAAAAACAACTCGTCATTTGTCTACGATAAAATGTAAGAAATAGAACAGTTAAACAAAAATAAGTGATCTTATTTAATTTTTCTTTATCAATTTAAAAACAAACATGATCAATGTCATGTTATAAAACAAGTGATAATTTCTCTTAAAAAACAAATATTTGTATAAATCTGATAGATAACTGAAAATATAATGATTTTTCTACAAATAAACAAAAATTTAGAATTTTTTTTTTTTTTTTTTTGAATGCAGGTAAATAAATTGTTGTGTTTTTTTTTTTGGCCCTTAGAAATATGTTGGCAAAGATATGAGAAATAATTTCATTATTTTATGAAAAAGAAAATCATGGAGTGAGATTAAATGGACTTATGGGTGTGTTTGGGATTCAAATAAAGTTTATATAAAAATGTTTATTAACATATGTGCTATCAAAATAAAATCTATACAAAAATGTTTAAGTTAGCTTATGCAATATTAAAACAGAATAAAGTATTTTTGATTATTCTAATTATATACAAACATTTTTTATTTATTTAAGGTACAATGTTCTAGTTGATAGAATCGTGTAAAAGACATTGCATTAATATGGAATATTGAAAAAATTAAAAGTATAACTTTCATGCTAGAAAATGTAAAAGTAAGAAAACATAAAGATACAAATTGATTAAAGTACATTGGTATCCTTTTTATTTAACATTTTCCCTTTTGTTTCCCTTTCTATATAATAAGGATTCATAATTTTTAGAAATAATATCATAAAAAACCTTAAGTTTGGCAGAAAATATCGGTTTTACTCTTCGGCAATTTTTTTTTTCATTTATACAGCAAACTTGTCATTTTTTTGTCGGTTTTGCCCTTGTTACCTGCAATAACAGGTTTCCAAGTTATTATGAATTATTTTTTGTGAAAAAATCCTTAAGTTTACAAATATTTTGCAAAAAAACCCTTAAGATTATAAACATATAAAATATAAATATATATTCAAAATTTTATAAAACTAAATAGTTTTCTACTGAAACATATTTTTAGCTTTATGTATGGTAAATTTTATATTTGTTTGATATAAAGTTTTTATATTTAAATTTTAAAAAAGTTACATAGTTTTATCAAAATTTAAATATTTATTAATTAATACATAAACTTTTCAAAGTAACATTAAAAAACATCTGTTAACTAATAATAATATGACATTAGTGGCATTCAATTAATTTTTTTAAAAGAAAAATAAAAATATTTTATATGTTTAAAAGGTTTGAATTTCAGAAATAATAAACTATCATATTTTATATAAAAATAAATATATTTATATAATAAATTAGACAAATATATTTATATTTTATATGTTTAAAATGTTTATATTTATTTTTGATGTTTAACATGTTTATGATATTTTTATAAAAAATATGATAATATTATTATGTATTTAAACATATAAAAAATACGATGTGTTAGTATTTCTGAAATACAAACCTTTTAAACATATAAAATATTTTTATTTACCTTTTAAAAAAATTAATTGAATGTACATGATACCATATTATTCATAATAACTATTTTTGCATAATTACTTATTAACTAACAAATGTTTTTTAATTTTGTTTTGAAAAGTTGAAGTATTAATTAAGAAATATATTCAAATTTTGTTAAAACTAGGTAACTTTTTTAAAATTTAAATATAAAAACTTTATATCAAACAAATATAAAATTTACTGTACATAAAGCTAAAAATATGTTTCAGTAGAAAACTATTTAGTTTTATAAAATTTTGAATATATATATTTATATTTTATATGTTTATAATCTTAAGGGTTTTTTTGCAAAATATTTGTAAACTTAAGGGTTTTTTTGCAAAAAATAATTCATAATAACCTGGAAACCTGCTATTGCAGGTAACAAGGACAAAACCGACAAAAAAATGACAAGTTTGCGGTATAAATGAACCAAAAATCTACCGAAGGGTAAAACCGACATTTTCTGCCAAACTTAAGGTTTTTTATGATATTATCCCTAATTTTTATACGTTGAAATTTTGCAGGCACATTTTAATGCTAAGTCAGATGCTTTCTCCAATAAATGTTCCATAGGATTTTACGTATAAATAATCAGCTGTGATAGCTGAGCAGGTGCAAGATCAAAACAGCGTTGTTTCAAAATTCAATAAATTATTGAAGATATTTATTAATATTTTTTCTTTTTGAAAAATAGTGTCACAATTCTCTTTATTTTTAATGAATTTGAAGGGAAATAAACTATATTTCGTATACATATTTAATAGTTTATGCACATAACCATGTAAGATAATAGGGATAAAATAGCTTTAGAAATTCTGAGAATTGTGATTTCATTATCAAATCAAAGTATTGGGTGGTACTCCCTAATCTTTGATTGGATAAAACTCAGAAGAGAAAAGAACATAGAATGAGTGTATGAAATTTCGTAAGTACAAAAAAAAAAAAAAAAAAAAAAAACTGATCAAAATCGGTTAAATACCTTCTTTGTCTGAAAACTGTCAAAATTGTCATAAAACAGTTTGACAACAGTCAACAAACTTTCATAAATCTGGGTTTTCTATAAGAATTAATACCAAGTAAAAAACGGGTCAAATATTCTAAATTTGGACCCCGCTCCCAGGAGCGCTGCCCCCGGACCCCCGTTCGTTCAGGGGCTTCGCCTCTAAATGACAGTCTACTTTTAATCTTGAATAAACTTAAACAAATGTGCACTCCACACCTTCCTTACTTATTTAATATTTCTCAAGATCACTTTTGGTCAACAAAAGTAATCCAATTACACTTAAAACACATTAGTGAAACAAATCACCAACAAACCAGGTGCTCAAAATATACCATTATAACATGCTATTATAGTTTTATCTTTCTTATTTTGCGTCTTTGGTCGTCTTCTCCAAATCTCCACCCAAATTATGCAACTTCCTCCGTCGTTAAAAAGAAGAAGTAAGGATTGTTATGTTAAGAGAATCAATGTTATATGTGATGCATTAATTGAGATTTGAGGTATTAGCAATGTTGCATATTCCACACCACTATAAGATATGTTATAAAAATATCGTTCTAAAAATATGGACATCAAAAAAATAATTTAAATAGAAAAATTAAAATAAAATATTTATGGTTTTTATTGAATATTTTTTTGTTGGAAAAATGTAAATGTAAGGGATTTCATTGGAGATAGCAATAACTAAATCTCATGAGAAAAATGAAAAAGTTTGTTGTAACTACATTGCTATAATAGAAATATATCAAAATAAGAGGCTATATACTAAACATATGATTGGAAGTTTGTTGCAACTACAATGCAGCAAAAAGTTTCTTGTGTTGCCTTTGTAACCACATTGGACCTTTCAAAGTTTCTTTGCAATAGCACTTATCAAAAAGTTAATGCCAATTGTATTTGGTATTTCAATTTGTGAAAATATATTAATATTTTAATCAATCATATGGGTGCTCTACACGAAATATGGGCTATAACTTTTGTAATCAATATAATAAATTTTCAACCATTCATAATATATTAATTTTTTTAATTAAATAATCACCATTTAATGTTTTAATGTTCACATGACATTTAAAATGGCTTGCAAGCACCACCAACCATGAGGATGCTCTAACTTTTCTTGGGTCAAAAGGTTACGGGCTTACGAGAAGTATTGCCACTCACTTTCATATTACTTATAAAAATCAAAATCCAACTAGAAACATTTATTATTAACTTCTGTAATTTTTTATTGAGAAAATTATTAATCTAATAAAAAATGCTAATTATTTTTTACTTAATAATAAAAAATTGGCCATTAGCCAATAAAATAATAGACTAAAGTAAGTGACATATGGTTTGGGCAATGAGCTACGATTCGGCGCTTTCGGAAGTAAATGACCAACGGTTTAGGGCATTTGGGCTATTGTTTTGTAGGCCATTTTTGGGTGTTAGAAGCTAGCAGTGGCTCCTAACAACAATCATATTTTTCTTCCAACCCTCGTTTTTTTAATTTGTTTTATATCATTTACCTTTGTAATCCAATAGTATTTGGTATAGTTTTTTGGTAAAAAAAATAATAATAAAAAAATACGAAACCGTAGATGGGGATGTCAACTACGGTGTATAAGTGTAAAATTTGTTAATATACAAAATGTGTATTATCAAGTTGTACAACGTAGATGACATAATCTGTCGTTTTCAGATATATTTTTGTTTTTTTAGTTATCTGCAACTATGTTTTCAAATAAGTGGCAAAAGGATGTTTCAAAGGTTTGTAATTTAAATTTGATTTATTGAATTTGGATTTTTTTTTTCTTCTACTTCTTACTCTATTAGTTTTTTTATAGGGAGCTCAACTACATGCTATCTGCATTGAATCTAAAGGTAAAAGGGGTACGTGGTGAGTATTTATGTGATAGCAATTTGGTGAAAGTTGAAACCATCATCCAAAGCTACGGATCCTGATTTGGCAAAGGAGTTGTGGGAGTTTAGTTTGACTTTGACTAGCTCCACATGATTTGTATGAAATTGTTACAAATATAATAGACCAAAATTTCAATTCAACCTTTATTACTCAAAGTTGAACCAAATAGAAAATATCAACACTTTTGTAATTAAATTATTTGGAAAAAAAAAATTCCCTCACATACGGAACAAATGGTGGCGAATCCAAAACATTTTCCTGTTAGGGGCACTTGCGATCATAGACAAATAAATGGTTATAAAGTTGTATGTCAACTCAAGCCTTGTCATTATTAATCATTATTATATGGTGTGATATTTGGGCTGATTTGGTACTTAAAAAGAAATAACATTTGAATGTCAAGAACAAAAGAGTAGTTGGAAAGAGGAAATAGCATATGGGTTATGTCAACTATGGTTTTGTCTATAACCCCATGTGTTGTTCATCTCTTATCCAATTGAAAGGAAACCATAGGTGGTATTTTTACCTAGGGTTTTGTCCCAAAAAAAAAAAGATTTTTTTTAATAGTATAAGGCAAAACCGTATGTGAGTGGCAAACAATAGGTGTGTTTGCATCAATTACAGATTTACTGACAATTTTTTGACTAATGATTAATTTTTTGTTATTAATATATATATATATAATATATATATATATTATATATATATATATATTATATATATATATAATAATATATATATATATGAAATGATAATAAATGTTATATTGATAAAATTAATAATATTTTCATTTTAATCATTTTAATAAAAAATGATATTTAAGTGAAAAATCATTAGGTATTTTGACTAGATTAATAATTTTCCATTTTTTATTTAACTTTTGGGGTTTTACCTTTTTTTATCCTTTCCTCTGTTCTGTCGTAGATCTATATTTATAGATACAAGTGATGCTATGATATTTGATAAGAAGATCTCTCTCCTAAAGTGATTACCCACATAATACGCTCAAAAGATCCCCAACTAATTAATATATTTTGTTTAGCCCTACATCAATTTGTTCCTTTTTCACGCATGACCTTCGAGAATATATTAAAAATTAATTTATATTTTCCGTTCAAAATTAATTGTTCACTTCTGGTTTTTGATTTTTTTTTTCAATTTGATCTTAAATATTTTTATTTGTGATATATATTATTTGATAAAACTTATAACAATGAAAAGATATTTAAAATACATTTCATTCATATATTTTGTATCAAGTATTATATATCAAAAAGAATAATATTTAAGATCAAAATTGAAGAATAAAAACTTAAAAAATCAAATGTCGACAATTAATTTGGAACGGAGGTAATATATATCACAATTCGATAATTTGGCATGCACTTCATCCGTTTGATGAAATGTCTGAACCAAATAGTTCAAATACGATTGAGAGCTCATTGTCGTTTTTTCTTGATTTATAGAGGATGGGAATTTTATGCTTACTTATCTCTTTTATTGGCAATAAATGAGATTGGTTGCTTATGTAATTGTAAAGAAACCCTTTGAAAAAATGTTGTGAGCTTTTCGGCTTTTCCCTTTTGTGGGTAATATTTCTCATATGCCCCAAGAAATTGCATCTTTAGTGGTGCCCATAACATGTTTGTTAAATTGCCGAAGTGAGCTTCATGCTATGTTGATATCTTGTGTGGGCTACCAGATGCCAATACATATACATATACAGGTTGTAAAAACAAATAACTAATGGTCAAAATATATGATATACAAAACTATACAAAATTTTAAATATACCTTTCATTTATTCATAAGTATTGATGAATAATGGATTCTTGTAGCACACTTAACCTGAATCAATTTTTAACTGAAAGTATTGTGTTTTGCTGGTTGAGAATGATAGGTATGGTAAGATTCAATATTAGTAACATGCTAATAGATTCTTCAATGCTAATAAGAACCATAGAAACAGTTTTTTGGGACAACTAGACATTATCGTTTTAACAATGTAGCTGTTTTTTAAGACTTAGGCAACAAACCTCCAAAATCAGTATCTCAATTTGATGCTCCCATTAGGCTAAAAAAAGGCAGTTGAACCATTTGGGATTGTTCGATTCAAGATAGATTATGCTAATCAACAATCTTTCTATTACACCCCTTGACATTAAAATACATAGAAAAGATAGGAAAAAATTAAATCAATTAGAAACTAAGGGTGTTATGAAACCAATTCATTATGCTAGAGGGAGTCGTTTGGCAATGAGCTCGGCACAACCTACGTTGCCTCAACGCACATCACGCATTGGCCTCTGCAACAACTGCTCGTCAATCTAACTTGATATTCCCTTATAGAATCTCGGAGGGATGATTGGTGTAGTTTACCCTTTAATGTGTCCTTATGGAGTTATGGTTCATTTTTTTTGGTTTGCGGTTTTGTTTTCTATAGTTTTTGCAAAATTAAAAACTGAACTACATTAGAATTTTTCCTTTTTTTGCAAAACTTAAAAAAAAAAAACACGGTCAATTTTTGTTTTGGCTTTGGTTTATGTGGTTTTTCCCATTTGTGGTTTGGTTTTTGGTACCCTACGATACAGGCATATGTATATCGAGCTATGCATAATATGTATATACATAAAAAAAAATACGTTTTTCGTGGAACGAATAATCTTCGGTGGTTTGTCTAGATTGTTTTTGTGGTGTTTTTTTTTTAATATTATCATATTTTAGAAAAATAATATATTTTTATTTTTATAGAAGCCAATGAAAAACCATTTATTTTCAGAAAAACCTCTGAAATTTTTTTAATTTTAAAATCCTTTTATAACCAAATTCTGAGATTTTTTAACCTACTAAAATCACAAATATATAAAATCTAGTTGATTTTTTTGTTGTTAATCTCTTAAAAAAAAAAAACAAATAAAGTCAAAAAGACTTTTGTAATTGAAATATACAAGCAAAAAATTAGTCACAACCTGGTGATCTTGTTGAAGGATAATTGATTCGAGAGTGGAAGTTGTGGATCGCGAACTCTTGATCTGAAGACAGATTAGCCATGGTCGTTGCAAGCAGCGAACTGGCCGTTCTAGTTTTCGTTGTTTTGTGTCTATCAAATACCTACAGCTTGCCTGAGTTCGCACGGGATTTTCGACCAACACGTTGCGCTCTTCGTCTTCGGTGATTCGCTGTTCGATCCTGGAAACAACAACTACATCAACACCACTGCTGATTTTCAGGCGAATCATTGGCCGTATGGTCAATCTTACTTCAATCCTCCGACTGGGAGATTCTCCGATGGCCGTCTCATCCCCGATTTCATCGGTGAGCAATATCAACATGTTTTTTCCTTCTTCCTTACCCTACCATAATACCATGCCTCTTGATGCAGCTGAGTATGCAGGACTACCTCTCATTCCGGCGTATCTCGAACCGGGGAATAATGAATTCACTCACGGAGCAAACTTTGCGTCTGGAGGAGCTGGTGCCTTGATCGAAAGCCATGCTGGATTTGTATGCCTCCCCTTCTCTGCTTTGGAGAACTTATTCCCTACAATGTAAATGCGCCTTTTGTGTTCGATGAAATGCCTAGCTGAAGAGCACAATGAATTATTCTTCTATGTTATGTAGGTAGTCGATCTTCAAACACAGCTACGCTACTTTGGCAATTTAGAAAACCATTACAAGCAGAGTTTAGGTGATACTAAAGCTCAACAGCTCCTATCAAACGCTGTCTACTTGTTTAGCTGTGGAGCCAACGACTACCAAAAGCCTTTTGTCAAAGATCACAGCATCTTCCATCCATATACCCATGAACAATACGTGGACATGGTGATCGGAAACTTGACTAACGTAATCAAGGTCAGGATTCAAACTATATTTCTTCTCATCTGTTCTATCTTCAATCAATTAAACTCGATTCTTGATTCTGCTTTTACGAACAGGGAATACACGAAAAAGGAGGCAGGAAATATGGATTTGTCACTGCCCCACTTATAGGCTGTTGGCCTGGAATTAGGATGAGACAACCTGGGAATACGTGTAGTGTAGAAACTGATGATATTACAAGATTACACAATCAACAACTTTCAAGAAAGCTAAAGAATTTGGAGAAGGAATTGGAAGGATTTATGTATACAAAATTCGACATTTCCACCTCCATTAACAACAGAATGAAGAACCCATCAAAATATGGTACTCATGAGTTATCTTTATGAACTATTATTATATTATCATCTTTGATTTCTTTATATCTGGATTAATTTGACATGAAGGTTTTAAGGAAGGAGAGATTGCATGTTGTGGTAGTGGTCCATTTAGGGGGATTTACAGTTGTGGAGGGATAAGAGGGATAAAAGAGTATGAAGTATGTGAAAATTCCAGTGATTATTTGTTCTTTGACTCTTTTCATCCCAATGAAGTGGCAAGTCGACAATTTGCAGAAATATTTTGGAATGGGGATTCCAAGATCACAGAGCCTTATAATTTGAAAGCCTTCTTTGAAGGTACACATTTTGACATTTACAAAAAAAAAAAAAAAAAAAAGAGAATTAAGTGTAAATTTTTAGGGTTTTTTGGTGTGAATGAAGGTTTTCTTGTGTGTGCTTGTAGGGATCCCAAATGATGAGTTATGATTAGTTACAGTGACGTGGAAGCCATGAAAGTTCTTGTAAGAAGGTTAAGTTAGTTGCACAGATATCATGACATATTATAATGTGTTTATAGTATATACTCTTTAATCTTATTTCTGCGTTTATTTTGAAATGATAATATAGTATATTGTTTCTAACACCCCAATTTTTATATATAGATTATTATATAACAAATAATTGTTCTAGCATATCCCAAGATCAATTCCGAACTTTCTTATAGACTAAATTACTGCGGAAGCAAAATAAAATAAAATAAAGTCTTCAACCGAAGAGCTTCGGGTGTTACGTCTTTGCGAAATTCTTTTGTTGCCTTCTTAATTTATCCTCCTCCTTGTCCTTTTGTCTGCAACTAGCTAAATAGTTTTCTGGGTTGCGCACATTTAATGTTTCTAAATGAGTAAGTCTGGGGCCTAGTGAGGTCGTGTTGCACACACATGTCCATCACTTTAAAAAAACATATGGTTTTATTATATATCTTCAATAAATCATACAACAAAACATATAATCCGATAACATAATTTAGGGGAACGATTAATTATCCAGAGAAAGAACTAAATGTTCATTTCCCTTCTCCGTGAGATAACTCATCATCCATTGTACTCAAGTATTTTAAATATCCAAGGAAATTAGTATAAATCTCAATTCCCATCCTCGTCGATCACACACATCCGTCATGCTCACGGCGATTAAACACCCCACCCGTTCCCACTAAACATGTCACCTAAAAAAACGCACGATAGATAAACAACTCAAAATAACATTTTCACACAACCATACTTATCATAAAATATACTATGAATAAATAAATAAAAACCAAATAATAAACGCATGACAAACATTTATGTGTGAGCAACCACAGAACACGAGAAAACTCACATTGTAACAGACAAATCCTATCCGAAGCTTTGTTGCTAACCTGCACCCTATATTCCACCAACAAAATTTATAAGACAACCCTCCTAGAAAAAATATCTTACGTGTTCATTTTGGTTTTACTATCTACGTGTCTCATTCGGTCAATTAATAACCATTCAACTACATTAATTAAAACGTTCGTGACAATCTTTGTAAAAATATTTCATCTTTCTATTTTACGACGTCATTTCCGTATTAAAAAGGTTTTACCCTTAAACTAATACTCAAATGTCCAAACAAATAAACATTTAAAATACCAAAAGTAATTATCATAAATAAATAAATAATACAAACGATAACATTAACTAACAAATTCAAAATAACAGGAACTATTTATGTAGTTTATATTTCAATTTAGAAATAATGGAAACTTCAAATCATAAAAACTGTAGGGATCATTTTCGTAACTTTATTTATCGTATAAAATAGGTAACGGTTACATATTTTTCATAGCAGAACATAGAAACTGTCAACTTATAAACAATTGAGATATTATTTGTGTAAAATACTATTTTTACTTCAAAAGAAAAAGACATATTTCTAAAACAAATTATACGGAACAAGATGTTGGGTACTACCCACCTCCATCAACCAATCAGGCTACAACATACTTTCCTTTTAAATATTTAAATAAAATAATTTAAAATATTAGAAATCACCAATATCCACAAAAACTTCGGACCCGATTTTTCTATCTTCTTTACCCAAAATTCTCCATTACTTTCTGTCAATTTTTTTAAAACTCAAGTTTGATTTATTTTTGGAATACTCCCATTTATCAGTTAATTCTTTATTTTCATTAGTTGTAACATAATTAGAACAAACAACATAATTCTCAATCATTTTATAACAAAATGTATCAACTCAATTTTCATTACTTTTTTTTGGCCAAGACAGAGACAATTTTGTTGAACCAAAACATGTAGAACATGAATGTAATCTTACTCAAACAACGAATTTTATCTTAAATCGGAGAGACATACATTAATTGTTCAAACTACGAAAAATAACTTCACAACTTCCTTCAACGAATTCTCCATTGTTTCTCCACCTTTCTTCACAATTTTTGTAGCATTCCACTTTATTTCTCATGTCTTTTATAATGTCCATGTTTGTAAACTTTCTAGTTAACCCAAAAGTCCAAATTTATGACTCTAGTCAAGTGATGGGTTTTGGAATTAAAATTCCATAATTTCTCTATTTACTCCTAATTAATTCATTAATCATAATTATAATAATATATTTATACCATATGCTTATATATTTATTTTAATTTGAGTTAATATGTTGGATTTAATATTAACAAGTTTAAATCCACAATCTATTCAATTTTTTAAATTCTTAATTTTTTTAGATATATAAAGGGGTTCAGGCTTTTTATTTGAGCCATGCCTTCTAATATAACTAAAAACAAACTATAATAAATTAACAAATCATTATAAATTTATATTATGTACCTTGTTAACTTTATTCATTTTATATTTTTCTAGTCTTGTTAACTTTATTCATTTTATATTTTTCTAGTCATGCTGAATGAACAACTTTTTTTTTGATGTGGCATGCCATGTCCATACTAACAAAAGAATTGTAAAGAATGATGAGAAAAAAAGGTTGAACTCCATGGTTTCTTCCTTTCATTAACAAATTCCTTAAAAGAGTATGTGAGAATCACATTGGAATGTTGAGGTCTACATGGATTAAGAATAACATTGTTAATTATCAATGTTTTATTTTTTTAATTTTTACAGATTGCTGTATAAAAAAATAACTTATAATTTTGTAGTAAAAGATTCGATCTCGCTTTTGATGTACAAGAATTAAGCAAAGAAAAAATAAGTATGAAAGATGTTTCAAGTGTACGAGATGCACCTTACCTTATTTTTTTGGAAACAACGGAAATTTTATAAAAAACAACACACTGTCTAACAAGAGCAAGCCAGAACAACAAAACAAAAATGCAACACCAATTACATGACCCTAAAAGGGTTGTAACCCTATACTTCACCCAACCAAAGACCATATAAATTATGCTATCGACCACCAGGATTGAAGTGGAGCCTTTTGAAGACTGTATCATTCTTACACTTCCAAATAGACCATATAGTTATATACATTTTTTTTGTAATTAACACAATGTATATAACTAACGCTACTTAAGGTAAGGCGCGATAATACATGCACCGTATGTGTGTGTGTGTGTATATATATATATATATATATATATATATATATATATATATATATATATATATATAGGGTTAGGTTCATGTGAGACGATCTAATTTTATGAGACCGTGAGATGCATTTATTTATTTATTTTTTATTTTTTTTTAGTTAATTCAAGTTCCGAAAATAATATTTAAATTTTTTTTTTTTGATTTTTTTCATTTATTTTGCATTTTAAAATTGTTTTAGAATATGTACAGTTAAATATTCTATTTAGAATATTTCACGTATTTTTCAGAAAAATATGATTTTTTTTAAAAATTTTTAAATTTTTTTTTAGTTAATTAAAGTTCCGAAAATAATATTTAAAAAAAGAATTTTTAGATTTTTCCATTTATTTTGCATTTTAAATTTATTTTTTAGAATATGTCAGTGTAATATTCTATTTAGAATATTTCACGTATTTTTTTTTTTAAAAAAAAAAGGGATTTTTTTGTATTTTTTTTAATATTTTTTTTCAATTTTTTTTAGTTAATTCAAGTTCCGAAAATAATATTTAAAAAAAGAATTTTTGGATTTTTCCATTTATTTTGCATTTTAAAATTATTTTTAAATTTGGTCTCACGGTCTCACAAAATTAGCATGCTCTCAAATGAATCTGAACACACACACACACACACATATATATATATATATATATATATATATATATATATATATATATATATATATATATATATATATATATATATATATATATATATATATTGTGTTAATTACAAAAAATATAATTAAAGTACATTATATATATATATATATATATATATATATATATATATATATATATATATATATATATATATATATATATATATATATATATATATATATATATATATATATATATATAGTGTTAATTACAAAAAATGTAATTAAAGTACATTAATTGTATACATTTTTGTAATTAAGGTATTGTTGATTACAAAACAATGTTTGATTCACCCCGATAAAAAAACGTGTATCATGTCTGGGAGGTCTTGAGTTCGAGCATCTTTTTCACTATTATATTTGTTTTTTATAAGATGCTAACCTGATTTACCATGTCAACAAATAAATGCTCACTCAACATGAACCGGGACAAAAAATATTTTGAGTAAAATTAACAAATTGCATAAAAATTATACAGTAAAATCGAAAAAGAAATTTGTAGGGAAGGCCATAAAACTTTGAAAAACCTAAGGGTTTTTTTACGATTTTCATTATAAAAACTGGTAAAACAGTAAAATTAGAAAGTTAGAATAAAAATTATAGGTTAAATCCCGAAAAAAACACACTCCGAAAATTCAAATTACTTAGGGCATCTCCGATCCATCCAAAACTCCATTTTCCCTCAATTTCTTCCTCCATTCTCCTCCAACCCTACTATATTTCTACCTTTATTTTTGGAGATATGAATAATATAACCTCATATTTGGGGTGATATTATTCATATCTTTAAAAATGTAGTTGAAGTGTCAGTTGCTAATTTTAGTCCCTCTCGTTTTTATTTTATATATTTTTAGTTTATTTTTTTCTATTTATTATAATATAAATGTAATATTTAATATTTGTAATATCATATTATATACTAATTTATATTATTTAATCGTAAATATAGAGTTTAATACTTATCTATCGAATTCATATAAAAAAAATCAAATATATAATAAAGACTTGAAATAAGGTAACATAATTTATAAAATATAGTAATCAAATATGATCGTGATCATGATATATTTATTATAAATATAATCTTATTTATTTAATAATTATTTATAATAAAGTAATAATTAATTTAAATTTATTATATATAAACGTTTTATTTACGATAATATAATTTATAATATTTTCGTAGTGAAAAAAATATAATATATAGTATTTGTAAAAATCTAATTAGTAGAGGTGTGTATTTGACAATATATATATATATATATATATATATATATATATATATATATATATATATATATATATATATAGGTTATAAAAATGTAATATTTTAGAAATATAATTTTTGAGGTAAAAAATGAGATAAAAA